AGGGAGACATCAAATTATCAGATACCATCACCCTATCCTCAGCTTTGCATGTTCCCAAGCTTAGTGCTAACTTACTTTCAGTTAGTAATATTACTAAAAATCAAAATTGTTCGATAACTTTTTTCCCTAATCAGTGTATTTTTCAGGATTTGGAAACGAAGAAGGTGATTGGGATTGACCATGAGATGAATGGAGTCTACCTGCTGGAACATTCACAGGGGGAGTAGAGTAAAGCAGGTAAATTGTTTGTTTCTCAGTCTTGTAGTAAGATTATGCTTTGGCACAACCGCTTAGGTCATTTATCTGTTGGGTCTTTAAAGAGTCTTTTTCCAAACTTCTTTAAGTCAGTAGAAGTGTCTGGGTTAAAATGTGAAAGTTGTGAACTTGCAAAACATAGTAGATCATCTTATCATTTAAGTAATAAAAGAAGCAACCTTCCTTTTGAGATTGTGCATACCGATGTTTGGGGGCCCTACCATACTCCCACCATGGGGGGGTACGGATATTTCTTATTATTTCTTGATGACTATGCCTGTTTTTCATGGGTCTATCTTATGCACTCTCGAGATGAGGTTCCCTCTCTGACCAAGCTTTCCATTAGATGATCCTAACTCAATTTGAAACCAAGATCAAGATTCTTAGATCTGATAATGCCAAGGAATACTTTGCAAAACCCTTGGCATCCTATCTCCTTGATCATGGGATCATTCATTAGAGCACCTATCCTCACACACCTTAGCAAAACGAGGTTGCTAAGAGAAAAAACAGACATATTTTAGAGGTAGCCAGAAGCATCATGCTCAATTCCATGTTCCCATACGCTTCTAGGGAGATGCAATCCATACAGCCATATACCTCATTAACAGGGTTCCTTCACAAGTCCTAAACATGCAAATCCCGTTCAGTCTTCTATATCCAGATAAGGACCTATTCACTCTTCCCCTCAAAACTTTTGGGTGTACTTGTTTTGTTCAAATCCTTGGACCTCATCGCTCCAAGTTTGAACCCAAAGCCACTAAGTGTATTTTGTTCAAATTCTTTCTTTTCTCCTCTCTCTCTCTCTCTCTCTCTCTCTCTCTCTTCAAATCTGTAATACAGTAAACAATTCTTCTTTTTCTTCTTTCAAGTGTTGCCAAGATTACTATAGTCTGTATCCTCTTAGCTTTATCTGCTACACATTCATGGGCCATACTTCAGTTAGATGTGAAGAATGCTTTTCTTCATAGCGATTTGAAGGAGACAGTATACATGAAGCCTCCTCCTGGATACAGTGGTGATCCCTCTCTTGTTTGTCGGTTAAAGAAATCCTTATATGGTCTCAAACAAGCTCCCCGTGCTTGGTTTGAGAAATTCCGAGATGTTGTAGTGGTTGTTGGCTACAATCAGAGTGCCTCTAATTATTCTCTCTTCATCCGTCAAAGACCTCGAGGCATTACCATCTTATTGTTGCATGTAGATGATATGTTATTGATAGGGGATGATGAGGTTGGAATCCAAGAACTTAAGTCTCTTCTCTACAGTTCCTTCCATATGAAAGACTTGGGTTCTCTTACTTATTTCTTGGGGCTGGAAATACATCGTAGCGGCCATGGTTACTTTGTCAACACAAATATGCATGTGATCTTATTAAGCTTGTTGGTCTTACAGACACCAAACAAGTTGATACACCTTTGGAACTCAATGTCAAGATGTCTAAATCTAATGATTGGTTGGGTCTCTCATTTATCTCACCATGACTCGTCCGGACATTTCCCATGCAATTCAGGTAGTTAGTCAATTCGTTTCAGCCCCACATGACTGCTGTCCACCGGATTATCCGTTATGTTCGCGGCACTCTGTCTCAAGGACTATTCTTTTCTTCTTCTCTCCTCTTCAATTGAGAGTTTATGCTGATGCAGATTGGTCAGGTTGTCCTAACACTAGACAGTCTACTACCGGATGGTGTGTCTTTTTGGGAGACTCCCTTATCTCCTGGAAAAGTAAGAAACAACAAACAGTTTCTAAGTCATCTACAGAAGTTGAATACGGGGTTATGTCATTGGTATGCAGTGAGGTTGTTTGGCTTCAATCTCTCCTTGCTGATCTTGGTGTTCATCTCCCACCGCCTATTCCTCTCTATGCTAACAACACTAGTGATATCAAGATTGCATCTAATCCAGTGTTTCATGAGAGAACCAAACACATTGAGGTGGATTGTCACTTCATCAGGGATCTTTTTCTTACCGGCTCTATTTCCCTTCCTCATATAGCTTCCGACTTAGAGATTGCTGACATTCTCACGAAGCCTATGACGAGATTGAGACATCTATTTCTTGTGGGCAAACTAATGCTTATGTCTCGGCATCATTTTGAGGGGGAGTATAGAGATACTTGATGTAATGTTGTTTTATGGTCCCTATTGTACCATAGCATTCATTTTCTTTCTTATCTTTAGCCCTTCAAGGGCCTCTTTGTAAATACTTATAACTAATAAGATATATAGGCTCTTTGGGGGCAGGGATTGGATATACTGTTTGACAACCCTAAAACTCTTGATGTTCTCTCAACCTAGAAGATTGGAACTTTCAACATCTCAATCAAGACCAAAGAATCACCAGCCAACTCTCTCTTTTAGTAGTTTTCAATAGAGATGGATTTCAGCCCACTTAAAGTTTTTTTCTAACAGCAGGCTGAATTGAAGATGTAAGCCAAGACATAATCATATAGTTCTCTTGTTCCCACTTCTCATACTCAGTGCCTTCACTAATAGGCTTCTTAGTCTTTTTGATGAGGTACCCTAACTTTCCCCTGACTCCAACAAACATTTCACACCCTTGGACCACTCCAAGTAATCCAGCCCATCAAGAAAAACAATGGATACAGGAAATCCAACATTGTCCATCCCACTACCAGAATTAACAAGCCCCCAAAAAGAATTTGAAGTGACAGAACTCTCTGAGAACATTGCTGAAACACTACTACTAGATAACCAGTACCACCAAAAGGATCCAAAAGAAGACCCTTCCTGGGCAGACACAATCACATGACATTAACAGTCCAAGGCAATGACAGAACAACTGTATTAGGAGGGACAAAACTGAAAACAAACTACTTACATGAGGGCTACAACCACTTGTACCATGCACACAATGACACACTGTCACTGTAAACCACTACTGCACACACATTCTGGTCAACATGCAAACAGCCCTTTGGTTTCCACTTGGCAAACAGAAAACATATGACTGGTCACTTGGAAAACCTTCTTTCAAACAAAAACCACCTTCCAGTCAATTTCCAGCACCTTCTTTGATCATAACAGCCTTCTACAAGGCTCCCAAACACAGTCCAGATCAAAAACACAGCAGAAACTTTCCTTACAGGAACTATTTAATCCTCTTAAATGCTTCAGTCACTGGAGGCTCAACCAAGAAAAATAAAATAAAAACTTGGTGCTATAACCAAAGAAGAAGGAGAATAGAAGCTTGGATGTGGCAATCAGATCAAACCAGTTGTTTGAGTATGCTTCCTCTAGTGGTCAAACTGATAAGTCAAGAATAACACAAGAAAAAAATTAGATTTTCTATGACAAATTATTACTCCAATTCCATGTATGAGAGGGAAAATATGATTGGGTAAGTGGCAGCACCCACTTTTCTTTTATAGGAAACGATACGTGGCAGCACCCACTTCACCCTATTATATTAATAAAAAATAATATTACAGGGAGGTCCCTAGACAAATAAGAAAATATAGGACCCCCCATACCAATAGTACTAGTAAAACCACCCCTCACAACACAGAGGAAGACCAGTATCACTATACAAAGAAACCCTATAAATCCCAGATTTAGCTAAACCATCAGCAATTGCATTCAGTTCCCTATGAACCCAAACCATACTTGCAAACATGTTAATTAGAATGTCTCTTGCTTCAGAAATGTAATGCACCAATCTCCAAGGACCTTCAGCTCTTCCTTGTAACTACTTAATTGTGTTTACTAAATCACCTTCAATTGTTAAGCTCATGATTCCCAAGTTTCTAGCAATCCTAATCCCAGTAGAGCCACCAAAACTTCAGCCTTTGTAGAGTCACCTGTTCCCAAAGGGCCACTGAAAGCCCAACAGATAGCTCCGTCCCTCTCTCAATCACACCTCCAATACCTGTATCACCTAGGTTCCTAAATCTGGCTTGTTGATATTCTAACCTTGAATTTGGTTATAGTTATGATGTTTAGAGTTTAAAAAAATTATCTACATAAGATTTCAGAATACAAGTCTACAATATTTGTTTTAATAACATGATGCTTTAACCAATTGGGCTAATAAACATTTTGAAATATTTTATTTATTATAAATATAGGATTTTCATCTTCTTATATATAAGTTTATTTATTCTGATTTTTTTCTTCAAAAGTGGCACCTTACTTCAAAGAGGTGCATGCCTCACCTTGCACCTTTCGCTCTAGGAACCCTTTGTGCTTAACTGCACTCCTTACTTTTAAAACACCAAAAGCCCCAAACAATCAAGAAACTAAAAGGGAGCACTGCACTTGTATTTCGCCTCCAGTGATGAAAATCCAAACCATAAACAAACCAAAATGCATACACACTATGAAACAATGCAAGCTCTTGAGTTGACTGCCCAACTCAATCACATAAAAGGATGGCTAATCCATCTTTCACTGATTCACCATTGTTCTGGTAAGAACGGCCCTACACCCTGTCACCATATTTGCAACTTCAAGTCCTCCACTCCTCTCCCAATAACCTACTTGTGCATCAACTTCTTCACACCATTCATTTCGACATTCTTGAACATAAACTAATTCTCCATAGAATTCAACCATGACATATTGAGAAATCTTTGTAAAAAAAGAGGCACTCTAAACAAGCCCCAGTTACCGTATTAGCTATTTCAAGACCTCCATCCCAAAAGATTCGAAAGACACATATCTGGCACAGTGGCACGAAACTATCACCAAATGCGCAAAAACTATTACAAGGAAATAAACCAAGCACCTGGTGCTTCTTCTCCTTCTTTCTCTCATTCCGCTTAGCGGCCTTCGTCTTCGGCTTCGCATCCAAAACCGGGTCATACCCCGGGGGCACCTCCGGCGTGCCCATACTTTTCCTTAACTGCATCAAAAGAAAACACCATCGGCTGCAAAATCCCCGACGATAATAAGCAAAGACAAAGACCGACACAAATCAATTCAGAGAACTTCAAAAGAAGCGAAAACGATTGAAATTCGCTTTTCCTACCAGAGCACCTTTGGATTGGTAAATTGCAACTTCGTCTTGAGGGACGTAACCTGCCCTAATCCGAATGGCTTTTCGCATTGTCCCGTCTGGTCTCCTCGTTGGCGCCAAAATTCTCTCCCCTTCTTTTAAGGGTTTCCCCAGAAGAGCAAGCTGCTCTTTCTGCCGTTCTTCCTCTGTTCCTCCACCGGAAGCCATCAAAGAATGTATTTGAAATCTAAAAAGCAAATACTCCCTCAACGAACTCGAAATGAGACGACGACGAACGACAGAAGAGAAATGGAAACTGGGTTTCTTTGATTAATTGGTTGCTCTATGTTCTTCTGTTTTTGATTCTTGACACTCTTCTTGTAAGCAGCGTCGAGGGGAGTGAAAACAAGTGTCAGAGGGGAGAGAGAGATCTTTTCAGATTTCACGCTCTTTTGTTCATCGTCATTTGTCAACAGTAAGTGTCCCTAATAAAGCATTTTGTACTTTGCAGCCTGGTTTTTCGCCACGTGGCAATGAAATTGGCCAAACTGGACGGATGTAATGATGAGACCGGATCTGCTCTTTACACAGGGCGTCTCACATCAACCTCATACGCACATCCTACCATGTTAGTAACATCTCCCGTATTTATACATTATTATTCACGGGAGATATTACATTATTATTCACGGGAGATATTCCCGATGCATGGTGAAGTGTACATGTGAGATCGGAGTGAGGCGCTGTGTGAGGAGCATGGATGGGCTTGGATCTTTGGGCCTCTATAGCCTAACTTTATATGTTTCAAGTAAAACCCACCACTTACTGGGTCCCAGACTCCCAGACCCATTTCTAGTGTAGACCTAAGCCAATATATGAATTTAGCTCAATTGCCACGTGTAAACATTATGTATAAGTTAATAATGCCCCCTAATCATGGTTAATCATAGCTGCAACTGTTGGAGACGGCCTACCCAATAAACCGTGGGCCTCCAAGACGATCAGTTTTAAGGGGCAGAAGTTTGAGTGTGGTGGATTGGATTCGGGCAATATCAGCTGGGCTTTTCTGGGCCCACCAAGCTTTCACTTCAGAGTCGAAACCATCACACGTCAGCATCTCATGGTATTGGTACGTTCCGCTCGTATTTCCCTTAGGCTGCGTTTGGAAGCGATGTAAAAACTTTACAGAATTATTGGTGTAATAATTGAATCCGCGGAATGCTCATTTTACACTCTTATTCATTTGGAAAAAGTGTAAAATCTTTGGTAGAGTTTTTATATGGGCTTGGAGTAAGCCAACAGACAGAGAAGCGGAGATTGAAACGACGGAGAAGTAGGACACCGATGATTGAAACAACGACAAATGGGAGAAGCAAGATGCGGAGCCAAAGAAGAGAGTTGTGCAAAGATAGAAACCACAATTGAAACCACAACGAGTTGAAGAATAAGGGCACTAGAGAAGTAGGGCATGGAGACGGAGAAGCAAGGTGTCGGCGATTGAAACCACAACAAGCTTAAGAACCAAGGTTCCAGAGAAGCAAAGTGCGGAGACAAAGAAGAAAATCATGCAGCGATTGAAACCAAGGTTCCAGAGAAGCACGATGCCGGTGAAGATTGAAACCAATGAGGAAGAGGCGGAGCAGTTTTTTGGAAGAGAAGAGAAAAACGTTAACTTTTACACTACTTGAGAGTTTGTTACACTCTATCCAAACGTGTATAAAACTAACACAAAATGTAAAATTACATTAAATTAGGCTTTACACTACAAACAAACGCAACCTTAATTCTAATTTGGGTAAAAGACTTAAATCTACCATTTTTTAGAAGGCCTATTTTTTAAATGGCCACTTAAATCTACCATGAGGCTTCAGAAATTGATTTAAACATATCATGAGTCTGAAAATACATGATATACAAAAAATAAAAAATAAAAGAAAACTGAGGGTACGTGGGGTGGAAAATCAATCGGGGTAAACTTTACACCCCGGTTCGATTATATTGGCGTTTGATAAACATGTAATTTTGTAATTTTACACTGGAAACATTTTAATTTAAATTTACATCGATTATCGATGTATTTATTACATCGCTCGCTCTCTCTTTCTTCTTCTTCTTCTTCTCCTTCTCTCTCGCTCTCTCTCTCTCTTCTTCTTCTCCTCTCTCGCTCTCTCTTTCTCTCTTCCTCTTCTCTTCTCTTCTCTTCTCTCTCGCTCTCTCTCTCTTTCTCTCTTCTTCTTCTTCTTCTTCTTCTTCTTCTTCTTCTTCTTCTTCTCTCTCCTTGTTCTTCTTCTTCCTCCTGGTTTCACTCTCGTGTATTCATACCTACCATCGGTCTTCAATTTTCCTTCTTCTCCGATCAGTCTTCAACCTGGGTGCTCTGCTCAGCCTTCATGCTGCAAGCTTCTTCACCCCGTAAGAATCAGTGTTGCAGATCTGTACCTCCTTCACCCAGGTTGGTACCAGACGACAACGAATCGGAGCTGCACCTCTTTTCACCGGCGTTCCACCATCTTAGAGCACAGAGGATCAACGCCTCCATTGATTCATCAACAGTTCACTGGACATAAATAGACATATTAGAAAGGATTATCCTAGTCTATAAACAGGTAGCTTTGTACATTTATTTTTACGGAGACGTGGGCATGAAAATTTTGAGCCCTGAGCCATTTGAGCGTGGTTTCCAGGAACGGCCGATGAAGTGGTTAGAGCGGCTATCAAAGCTTTTACACTCGCAATCGCACTGTTTTGTTTATTAGTTTGAATAATGGCCGATGAAACCACGCTGTGTCGTTTCCAGAGAATCATTAATAACAACATCTGAAGTACAAATAGCTAGCTTGCCCTCGTCCCATTGCCTAATCTTCTCTTTCGAGCTGTGCCATTATTTTCGTTCCTTGAGAGTTTCATGAGGTTGCCGGTTGGTGAATCTCTCTCCTCTTTCTGAAGGCCGGAGACAGAGTTATAAAGGTTGCCTGACCCCAAAAATCTTCTTGCAGAATTCTATGGGGTGGTAGCTGACGGGAGCTCACTGTAAAAGTAAATCCAATCTCTTGGTTGACTGCGGCCTAGCCTAGGCTGCTGGCTAGATAGCCGTAGGCCATAGCCTGCCGCCTCGATGCTTCCCCCAGTGCAAATTTAACGGCTACGAGATATCCTGCAAATTAAATGGCATTGTTGCAGGGGTCTGAGACTCTGCTTCCAGGTTCCAATATAATCTTCAGCGACACACACAACCGACTGAAGCTTGTTCGGTCATCGGTGACGGTGAGGCTCGACCGGATCCAAGACTGGAAGTTGAGCCTGGTAAAGGGCGGAATCACCTTGAACTTGGAGGGGGACCAATGCACCAGCTTCATTCATCTTGTGGTTGTCATGAGCCATCCGTTGAGTATCAATCTTAGCGAATTCATCTGAAGAGTCATACTACGAGGGTGTTCGCTCCAGTGGTTTTTGCTTTTCCTTCCATTGGAGAGAGAGAGATGGAGAGAGATGTTCGCTCCAGTAAACTGTGCATGAATCAATGGAGGCGTTACAGGAGAGATGCAGGGAAGCAGTGACAAGATGCAGGGTAGGCAGGGGTAGGCAGTGACAAGATGCAGGAGTAGGGGTGCAATGAGTGTGGCCACACCCCATTGTGTATACAATATAATTTGTATATTATATATATTATATACAATAATTATATAATATATTAATATATATAATTTTATTTTCAATTTTATTATTGTGTATATAAACAATTATATACGTCAAAATTCATATAAAATAAAATTTTAAGATCTTTTTAATTTTTGTCTATTTTTATAATTTATGTTAAAATTTTCTTTATTTTTTTCAAAATTTTTAAAAAACATGGCTTGGCCAGCACGACACATGCCATATACTGTGTCGGGCCAACCCCCTAAAGTATCCTAGGGGAGGGAAGCATGTCCCGACTCAGCACGACCCAACATGGCTTGATTGTAAATAAAATGAGAGTGAAAGACAATTTTCAACAAATATGAAAAAGGTAAAAATTTAGTGGCATCATTGTAAATAGTTAGTAGTGACACTATTGTAAGTAATTACATATTTAGCATCAAATATGAAAGAAATGACAAGTTATCATTGTTTTTTCTTTGTTTTATTCAATGGCATTGTTCTAATTAATTAAATTTGTAATAGTAAATTTCACATGCTCCAAACACCACATGTGTAAATGCTAATTTACTTCATTCTCATGCAGCCACGTCTTCTCCCCTTATGCCCCCCTTGTGCTTTAAGTATATATAAGATATCATCAAAATAGACAACAACAAATTTGCTTAGAAAAGGTTGCGAGCCTGCAACAACTGAGTCATCTCTCTCATGAAGGTGGATGGTGTATGAATAACCCAAATGGCATAACTAGCCACTCATATAGGCCTTTACAAGTCTTGAAGGTCATTTTCCATTCTTCTCTTGGCCTGGTGCAAATCTAGTGATAGTCACTATTCAGTTCTATCTTTATGAAAAGTGTGGCCTAATTGAGTTGGTCCAACATCTCCTCCAATCAAGGTATGGGGAATTGGTAGGGGATAATTCGGTTATAACCAAAAAAACGAATTGGAAATTTCAATTTTGATTTTTCGGTTCGGCTTCCTTGGTTTTTTTATTAATTCTATGTTTGAATAACCCAAATGGCATAGCTATCCACTCATACAGGCCTTTACAAGTCTTGAAGGTCGTCTTCCATTCATCTCTTGGCCTGGTGCAGATCTAGTGATAGTCACTATTCAGTTCTATCTTTATGAAAAGTGTGGCTTAATTGAGTTGGTCCAACATCTCCTCCAATCAAGGTATGGGAAATTGGTAGAGGATAATTTGGTTAAAACCAAAAAACCAAACCGCAAATTTCAATTTTGATTTTTCGAATTGGTTTCCTTGGGTTTTTTATTAATTTGGTGTTTGAACAATTCCATTTTCAGTTTTAGTTTTTAAAATTAGAAATTTGCTTAATTGAATTAACTGAACTTTGATATATAATATATAATATATAATATATCATACTATTTATGTATTAATATATAATATAATGAAATTTGCTTAATTATAATATATAATATAATATATAGTATATACATTTTTGATTTTTTTTGATTCAGTTTTAAAATTTTCAATTTATTCAATTCAGTTTTTAACCGAATACTCACTTCTAGGAATTGGTACTTTATAGTAATATTGTTGATGGGATGACCATCTATACACATTCGCCAAGAGCCATCCTTTTTGGATTAAGTTATTCACTTGTCTCTATAGTTCTATATGTTTATTGAGGTTTTTTTTTTTTTGTCAAAAGAAGCTGCCTTGAATTAGTTAAACGAGTCTTACATGGGGGGAGTTAGCTCCATTGTAGTCTAGTGATATGTGGCACTTACATGAGATGTAAGCAAAAAGATGGGCCACTTGATTGTTGTTTCTACTTATA